GGGATTTGGAGTTGCTGCCTGGATCCTTCCATGCTGCCCGCGGTGAGCACGGGGAGATGAAAAGGTAGCTGTTCATGTGCGGGCGGACGCCGCCTCCTCCATCCCTGGGTCTCTCCCACCGAACCGCAAGGCTGGCCCAGGACGAGCGCTCCAGAACCTCCGGAGGAGGGAGGGCAGGCCGGCTGCGGCTGTGAAGGTTTTTTTTTGTTTGTTTCACGAAGAAAGAAATCAGCTTTAAAAGTAGAAAGCACGGTTTTAATTTCTCAGTGTGGCCCTTGGGGATGGATGGTTTGCAGCAGTCATTCGGTTATCCCAAACTCTTTATTAAGTCAAGTCTTTTCTTCCCCAGAATATTTTCTGTTAAAAAAAAAAAAAGAAAGAAAAGCAATCTGGACTTTTGGTTGGAGGAGCCGTAAAAAGTAACAGTGAGAGGGAGAGGGAGCGAGAGAGGTATGCAGCAGAGCTCCCCCCGGGGAGCTGGGAGCTGCTGCTAAATTTCAGTTGCAGTTGTCAGAGTTAAAGAAAACACTGGAGAAAATGTCTCATCGAGGGGTCCCGGACCGCTGTGCTCCGGGAAGGCAGTGAGGGATGGACGGCAGCCAGCTGGCCGGGGCCCAGCCGCCAGTGCCCTGCGCCAGCCCCTGAGCTCATTTGCTGCTTCTAAGTCATTTAACAGTCAGAGCTGTTTCCAGATCAGCACAGGGCACTATGAAGAGGCTTGGGGGTTGGGGGGAGCCAGGGAGATGTTAAGGAAGAAGCTTCGCTCATTTTTGGAGGTCTTGCCCAGGGCTCCTTGGGGTCTGTTGAGATGGACTGTACATGAGCCCAGCTGACTGGACGCTGGGCACGGCAGCCCAGGGGGCAGATGCTCTGCTGTCCTGGCTCAACAGTAGAGGAAACAGAGGAGGCAAGCAGAGGGCAGTGAACCCGTTTAGGCTTCAAGGGAAGTCCTGGCACATGGTGCCTGTCTCGAATTTGTCCCACAGCGGGGAACACAGACTGACCTTGCCCAGCTCCGGTTCCTCCAGCCTGCTTTCTAGAACCTCTCATCTGCCACCACGTCCATGTGTGGCTGGTCCCCAGCACCGTGGACGTGTGGGTGGTGTGTAGCCCGCAGCAGCTGCTGAAGGCTCTCATCCCTGGTGACACGTTTCGCGGTGCCCCTGGTGGACACTCCTGGTCTGACCAGAGGCTGTGCTGTGCAGCGTGACAACCGGACAGGCCCCCATCCTCTCCAGCCCTCAGCTGTGTCCTTGTTCATCAAGGAACTTCCCGCCTCTACCTCAACTTTCCTCTGATTCACTGCAGTGGGTGCCTATGCATTTGGCACCTAAGTGGTTAATAGCATCGCTGGCTAAAGGCATGGAGGGTGCCTTCTTCCCTGGGGGGCTGTTAGCACATCAAAAGGGTGCTTTTAAATCC